TAGTCAATTCCGACTCTTAGCAAACCTGTAGGACAGAGTAGAACTCCCCCATGGGTTTTCCAAGGCCGTAAATCTTTACAGAAGCAGACTGCTGTATCTTTCTCCCGTAGAGCAGCTGGTGGGTTCGAACAGCTGACCTTTCGGTTAGCAGCCGAGCACTTAACCACTGTGTTATCAAGGCTCCCATGCAAACCTCAGGGGGCTGGAAAATTAAAATTTGTTAGTATAGACTATTACAAACATTTATAGAAATAGACCAATTAACAACTCGTGGCTAGGAAATTTTTGATGCTTTCAATATAAAAATGGAGGGTATCATCACTAGTTTTTGTAAAACAATTTTATCAGTTTCTTTGCCCGTTGCAGAGTTTTAAGCAGTCCCAGTGTGCTCAGGTTGTGGCAGTCCTGCCTTTGGGGGGCTGGTAGCAGGGAACCGACTCTGTCAGCATGGGCTCACGGCAGCTCACACACAGCAGACGTGTTGCAAATGATCGATCGCCTTTCCCTGTACAGCTTTTAACTGTGAAGTTCTCTGAAGGGACAGATTTTCTAGCCACTTGGGTGGAATGTGCACATCTTTCCTTTTTTAAAGGAAATCCAGCTGACGGAGCGATGAAGCTCATTTTTATGCAAGTGCAGAGGTGGCAGGCTGAAAATGATCACAAACATCTACCAAATTACTTCAAGGAAGTCTGGTCCTTTCGAGAGCTTTTACTAGGGTTCTGTGGGTGTGTCTCAAGTACACAATGTACACAGATGAATATTAGAGGAAGAGTTCAATGCCTTAAGAAACAAAGGAGGGATGAGGGTAGAGAGGGAAAAGGCAGGAGAGAGGAAGTGAGGAGTGATCAAAGAAAACAACAGAAGGAACATGGAGCAGGATCTGGCAGGACCACAGGCTGAAGGTTCACATGGCTGCATCTGAATAGGGGCAGCCGGACGAAGCTCCAGCAGCTCTCTATGCTGAGGGCGAGCTTAAGGGAAAGCATACAGAGCTCACAAGGATCAGTTTAAATCACAGATTTTCCCTGTCCTATGTGGTGTCTCAGATTTGCACTTTAGTCTTGGAGGGCAATTGTATTTTTCCCTTTGAACATCTTTTTCAAGGAGATTAAAGCAGCCGTTGGCTTACACAGCTACCGCAATAGCCCTCCTCTTTGGTCTCCTATCATAGCCTTCCCCTTAGACATTCCGAGCTTTGCTAAGCTGGTTGTAAAAGTCAGGATTTGCAGGTTTGCTTACTGACATTCCTCACAAATACACCTTCCAAAGAGGTTTACACTTAACACCTGCTGCCAGCTCTTCATCGCACGACAGTCACTCTGACCATAAGAAAACCCAAACCAAATCAGTTGCCATTGAGTTGATTGAGTCATGGCGACCCCATGTGTGACAGAGTAGAACTGCTCCGTAGGGTTTTCAAGGCTGTGACCTTTCAGAAGCAGATCACCAGGTCTTTTTTCTGAGGCTCCTCTGAGTGGGTTTGAACTGCCAACCTTTTGGTTAGTAACTGAGAGTTTGCGCCACCCAGGGACTCCTCAGAGAGTAAAATGCCTCCATAAAGTCCCTGTTTCTGGTCTTCCTAAATAAGTCCGGGTTCTAGGTTGAGAGCTGTGGAAAATGTTACTCAGCAGAAATCTTAAGAGGCCAGCTCAGAAGTTCAAGGAGCACCAGGAATAATCACTGGCCAAGCAGCATTTCCTAAAGCAGTCTCTTACCTTCAACTCCACAAAATTTTGTAGGAACTGCTATGCTTGCCATTCGTGGACTAAGCAACATTCATGCCTTAGACTCTACCTCGGCAGTTCTGAAGGTCCAGCGTCTGAGGTCTTGTCATTTTGTGAAGCTAAATTGTAGGCCCAGTGCTGTGATGTTCGTTAAGGTCATTGGTGAGTAGGCTCAGCCACTCCCCACCCTCTACATTGCAACATGGTGTTCTCTATTCCTTAGAAGCTCAGTAACTTGTAAAATGAGAAAACATGGCATTCTCTGGGGAGTGGGGCAAGGAATAAAAGGCAAAAAACAAAAACAGCTGTAGTGTTTGTGGTAGAAGGGAAGCATACCTGTAAAGTCAGAGTTCTTAGAAAGGAGGTTGGAGTTTAAGAATAGAAGGTGAATTTAACCTTAGCTCAGATCCATGCTGTGTATGTACTGAACTAGTCCAGAGTATACTCTACCCAGCAAAAAACTGCAAGTGTGAGTCTGTTGTAATAATAGTCCCAAGCTCCTGGGAGCCTTCTGCTGCAGAAGTTGGTTCCAGCCAGTGGGAAAGTGCTCAAGTGAAAGCTGGAGAGGGGGCTGAGGTACAGGGTGAGAACACAGACAACACAAGATCCAGTGGAAATGTCATCTGGGAGAAGGTGTGGAGACTAAAACTGGAAGACAATTTGGGGATTTTTTGAAGTCTCAACACAAATCCTTGCAAATATCAAAGTTGCAGAAATGAAAACTTAAAGCATGGCTGCGCAAGGTGGCCCGAGCAGCTAAAACGGACCCTCTTACAAAATGCTCTTTTTTAGCTTTATAGTATAATTACTGGATTCACTGTTGCAAAACCCTCACTGAGCCCTGCAAATCTGCCAGAACTGCACACTTCTCTGAGTGAGGCTACCTTCATTAAGGCCTCTGCAGAAAGCCTACCTGGAACCATAGTGTTGAGGCCATTCTGGGCAATACTCAGGAAGTCACAAATCAATTAGTGGCCTTGATTAGGTGAGACCAAGCTGATGTCTGTCGCCGCCTCTCACCATATTCTTTGCAATGTGAAAAACAGCACTTAAACCTTCTAAGCCGTCATTTGAATCGCTGGCTGGGTGTTAAACTTTATGAGAAAGATGATTAGTTTCTACTTATCTTGAGATAATAAGGATTAGTAAATAAAGATCACAGAAAAGATAACTTTTGGGTAGTGATGGTTGTTCACGTTGAGACCACCTCTTGTGGAATGTCTTTTAATAACAACTTACTAAATTTCTAGTAGAGTGGTAGGTGGTGGGGCTACTAAGAATATACCTCCTAGGACCTCATGGTCTAGTCATGGAGGCAGACAGGGAAACAACAGACTGCACTATTGTAAAGACTGTGTCTGAGTCTTGAAGGCAATTCTGGAAGGAGATTCAAAATTGTTTTGATCCACTACAATATTGCTGGAATAAGAAATACATTGTCACAGTATGATTATCTTAAAAGTAAATTCTGGTCTTTTTTTTGGTGGGGGGGAAGGCATCAAAGAACTTTAAAATCGTACATCTCGGCAGCCGTAGGCAAATACAGGCTGCCTTCCTCCCTAACACACACTTTCTACTTTTGAACCTTTTCAGGATTTCTCTACTGTCAGACATTTTCAAAAGGTTTAAGCTATCTTTTCTTCCAGATTTTGTAAGCAGGGAAGTAGCAGCGCTCCATAAAAGCACCTTGGCGTAAGCAAACCCACACCCACTGAGACAGACGCACTGCTTGGTCCACTCACTCACTAGAAGCATTCAGTGCCGGCCTGTGTGACACCCTGTAAGACTCTGGTGTAAAGATGGGGGAGAGGGGCGAGAAGCAGAATCTTTATACCCTGCTCAGCAGTGAGGGTCTCAGGCATCTTCTCTCAAAGACCTTAATGAAGGCTTTTTCTAGGCGAATAAGTCTATTTCTGTTATTACTTGGAGGCACAGACAATCCTTCAGGGATCTCAGGCCATAACCCAACAAAGCGGTTCTCAAAACACAGCCTGTGCCGTGTACTCTAAGGGTTCCTAAGGCCCCTTCACATGACCATGAGGTCAAAACTATTTTCATAATAATACGAAGAGGTTATCCACCTTTGTTTTTACCCATTCTGTCATGAGTGTGCAGTGGAGTTTTCCAGAGGCTGCATGACACGTGATAATGTGACAAACTGAGCAAAGAAGCCGTTATGAGAATCTTGTCTTCTACCAAGGCACACATTAAAGAGACTGACAAAAATGTAAAACAATACCATTCTTTTTTTGGGGTGGTGGTGATTTTTTTCATAAAACTGTTATTTATAACATGTAATATGTTATTTTTAAATGAATTAAAATATTTTAAGCTTGTTTTAATTTTGAATAGGATAAATATCACGGCACAACCCACCTAAAAATGCTTAAAATATTTTTTTTAAGACTGTAATAGGGTCCTAAGTCCAAAAAGTTTGAGCCGTGCTGTTCTAGCCTAATGCTGGCCACACTGAACAACGACTGCTAGACCACATAGCTTTGAGCTAAGGTTTCTGTGATTTTTCACATACACCTTTTCGGGAAATTTAGTTGCCCTATTTATCAGAAATACAGCAAACCAAAATAACCACACAGTTTCCCCTCTCCTTTCCCCCTGCAAATTCCATGAAGAATTACATTTCAGTCTGGGAGACAGATTTGTCAAATCACGAAGAGTTCAGACTGCGTATCATTCTCTGATCTACCAATGTACTCCAAGGGTTTTTTAGGAACAGATCTGGAGAACCAGCACAGCCCTTAACACTGAGGGTATGAATACTGCATGTCACTTAGAGAATTATACAAGCAATTCATTTCTAACACGAAATTTACATGTCACTGCATTTGACACTCAAACCAGAACTGAAAGCTTTTCATCAGCATCAACTCATCACTAGGGAAAAAAAAAAAAATCTACCTTAGAAACCTCTGGGTTCATGCAGTCTAAAAGAATATGGTATTGTTCTGGGGTTCACATATCACCATTCATTCGAATGAAGCTATTTTAAGTGGAAACTATGAAGGCTGATACTTGGTCAGGAACACTGATTTCTTAATTATCTGCACAAACCTGGAGAGGTGCAAGGCAGCTCGTGAAGTAGTTTTGGAATTCCAGTACATGACAGAATGGTCAACTCTTCTAAGGTGGCAGTTACAATACTGGGCAGATTTGTGGAATTCAGATTCAATAACACAGCTTAAAATCAACAGCACTCCAAAAGCCTGAGACGCCTTCTGCTTTAGCTGTCTTTATGGAGACAAAATTTACAACCCAGACTGTCACAGAAAGCTTTATTACCACGAGAGGAAATCAGAGAATGCTGGAGGCCACTAGTGGCAGCTGTGGCAGCACGGGATGTGTATTCAGGGGGAGGGGACAGCAGGTGGGAACCCCATCAATCACATCTGGGCAGTCTCCCCACCAACAGGTGTGCTTGGCTTGGGGGAGACTTGCTGGGCTTCAACTAGTGACCTGCTTTGTGTGTGTGTGTGTGTGTGTGTGTGGCTCACGGAGTTCAGTCGTGCTGAGCAGCCTTCCTCCTGGACAAAACAAAGGACATGAAGCCAGAACCAGGGGCAATAATAGCTGCACAGACACTGCCTTAAATGGAAATAAAATTAGGCCCATTACATCTTTACGTGCATTTCACCCTGATCATAAAACCAGAGGGAGAAGGCAGCACTGGGCTCTACTGGATAGCTGTTCTTTTAGATAAGATGCTTTTAAGAGTTAAACACTGGCAGGGCTTTTCCCCTTGCTAACAACAAGCAGCACACAATTTCCAAGCCAGCTTTTTAAAGCTCTTGTTATCTGTTATTATTTGGATTTTGAACAAAATTGATGGAGTAGGAGCCAGTAGAGGAATCCTGTTTGATCTGGAAATTTTCTGTGGAGAGTCCAAAAGGTCGGAGAACCAAGTTCCCAAGATCTTTTAGTTTACCTGCAATACAAAAGAAAAAAAGGCAAGTGAATACAGGGAAAGAACAGAAGCAGGAAGACCCCAAGTGATCTTGCTCTGCCATCAGATTACAAAATAAAGTATCTCTCGATGGTTAAATAAATGCCTGCTTTTAAACACATGAAGCCTTCTAAGGGGCGTTCACAGCCCCTCTCCCCCTCAGTGGTGCAGTCGCTTCAAGACCACACATCCGGAGCCGGTGCTCGCACAGATCAGAAGTGAGGGAGCCCTGCTGCTCTCTAGGAGATCAAAGCCTCCTGTCCAGACTGACCAGAACTACTAAAGAACACAGGCTTCTGGGATGAGTGATGGGAAATCAATCGCTGCTCCTGGTGGGGGTGGAGGTACCCCACCAAGCCTGATCTGCCTGGCAGTAAGGGCAGAGGTTTCCCCAACAGTCTGTTCTCTACAAAACAGCGGCAGACACTTGCTGAATTTAATTCAATTCAGCAAATTGCGGCTCAGCCTGGATTCAAAGTCAGAGCCTCCTGCTTTTCTAAGCAGAGCTTTGGCTTCTACGCCAAACTCATCATTTCTTGGGAAATCGGAGATTTTGTTCATTTGCACGGTGCCATCAACCTTAATGGTGGTGCAGTGGTTAAGAACTTGGCTGCTAACCAAAAGGTCAGCAGTTCAAATCCACCAGCTGTTCCTTGGAAACCCTCTGTCCTATAGGGTCACTATGAGTTGGAATTGACTCAATGGCAACGGGTTTGGTTTTGATCAACCTTGATAGTTCAGTCTCCTCTTCCCACATTTCAGATTTTACTTATTAATCACTTGGGTGATCTCACTCCTAAAGCGAAAATTGAAACACATGGTATAACCAAGGATATTTATGCTGTTTCTAGATCCAAGAGGGCATGGAGTTTGTATGTCAAGACTTGGAATTTCCAGGACATTTCAGTGGTTTATAGGGGTTTAACAGTCAATGAGATAGAATAGCTGAAACTAGGACCATTCTAGAAAACATCCCTTTCTAAACCATTTTAATCTTTCTTGCAGGTCTGTTTCCAATGGAGATGAGAATGAGGGTGGAAGGGAAGAGAAATCCCTAATCATTAAATGTACAGGTTCCTTCCCACTGTACTTGCTGGTTAGCAGCTTTGGTCATTCTGAGGCCTCCCAGCTTAGAGTAAAGCCCAGGTAAAGAACTTAAAGATGCATGACTTTTAAGTTTAAAGGCCTGTCCTAATAACTCAAGGTGATAACTCTTGGTATCAGTCCAAGATTTAGCCCCACAGGAGCTTGCATGTTCAGAGGGAAGGGCAACCCATCCCAGGAGACAGCATTAACAGGAAAGCTTCCAGAACCCAGAGGCTGGGTATCCCCTACACACTCAGTAAGTGGGGATGATCTGTAGCCAGCTGACTCTAGTCCTCTAGTGCAAACTTGTCCAAATAAACACCACTTCTTTCATAAAGTTATTTTCAATTTAGCCAAAAGGAAAGCTGGAATGGCTTGCCAGAGAGCTGTCTGAGATCTGAAGCTGAGTGAGTTGAACAGCATGTACTCTGAAATGTCTGCTTTCTAGTTTTTCTCTACTGCACAAGGAGGAAGGAGGAAGCTTAGTGATACACCTGCTTCTGCCCAGGAGATTTCTGCCACAGCAGAGCTGCTGAACTCCACTCTACTCCCCACTGCGGGCTGTGCCCTCCCCTACCCTTTAATTACCCATCTGAGCCGCCTCTACACACACCTCCCACTCATAAACCACACCCCTAAACAATGGTTGTTAAGCTTGAGTGTGCATCATAAATACCTGGAGGGCTTGGTAAACCTCAAGATTGCTGGCCCCTCCCCAGAATTTCTGATTCAGTAGATCTGGGTACCAATACTTTGAGAGCCAAAGATAACCTGCTTTTGCAGTTGATGGCTGGAATCTTGAGCAGAAGCCTGATACTAAAAAACTAACTGTAAAAGGGGGAAAATACAGAACAGAATTTAAAATTCTCATGGAATCCAGACTTTATGGAGCCATGGAGGTTGGATGAACCCCTGAAACTACTGCCCTAAGATAATCTTTAAACCTTAAACCAAAAATATCCTCTGAAATCTTGTTAAAGCAAAACAATAGTTTAACTTAACTAGTAAAAGAATGTCCGCCTTGAGCATTAGGCTCTTTTAAGACCTATCTATATGGGATCAAACTGACAACAGCAACTCAACAGATCAGATAGGAACCTGAGGGGGCAGTGAGTTTATGTTAATTGGGGAGGAACAACTCAGAAAAGGAAGGTGAGAATGGTTGCACAACTCAAAGAATGTAATCAATGTCACTGAATGGTACATGTAGAAACTTAAATTGGTGTATGTTTTTGCTGTGTATATTCTCAACAACAAATAAAAACCCAAATACACACACACACACACACACATATATACCCATAAAAGCTAACTGTAAACACCTCTTAGACAAAGTAAAAAGGAAGCCCAAGTATTCTATGCTACCTTTTGGAGAAAGAAGCAGATGACAAGCTGAGATGACAAGAGATCCAGGAAGTACCACAAACATATACACATACAGATTCTTAGCAATTCCACTTGCTTGAAAGATTTCTTGGCTGGGCCAAGCATGTAGGATAAAACAACTTGCAAATGAGGACAAATGTCTTTATCCCACATTCTTTTCTATTTTTAACCAAAGCTGATTCTCTTGCTCAGAGACCTATGTTAGCATCATCATCTGGCCCCCACATATACACCTCTTACCCTTTTACATATATGTGTGTGTGTGTCCATATATATATACATATATTTACTTTTTTTAATTTGTTGTTGAGAATATACACAGCAAAAACATACACCAATTCACTAAAGCAGAGGAAGGCACTCCTCCCCCATGAGGTTAAACAGCCACACGTCTCGAGGTGCTCTCGAATACAGAAGATACACTAAGAATTTGTCCTTGGTACCCGACGGTTGAGTGGAGCAGCTTTAGGGATTCTAAAAACATCTGATTAGTTTTACTTCTAGATTTTTTTTTCCCACTATTTAGATAAATGTTCTATGTGAACAAAATATTTAACATTGTGAAATCAAAACAAACTGGGCCTGCCAACCCCAAATTTAGATTTTCATGTTCTTCAAACCTGCCTGATTATTCTGATTATAAATGCTAGACATCTGAATTTACAAAATAAATTTATACAAATAAAATACCACTTCTTTTTTTCTATTATGTGGTTCCACATAAGATTTTTTTAAACGAAGGGGTTCTACTATTTAAAAGAAAATGGGACAATCACTAGATATGAACAAAGAAAAATAACAGGGCATCCAATTGATCAAAAAAAGCTCTGAGCCACTTGGGGTGCTATGTTTAGGGCACCTGTACCCCTCTCACCACACCATCAACCAGACCCTTAAGTCCTTTAAAGCTTTCTTTTACCTGGCTATGATGGCTATGAGGCTCATCATCCTAAAGAAAGGGACAAAATTAAACACTCTAGTGGCTGACCTTCTGAAATCTGAAGCTATCATGGTCCTCTTCTCTGGTTAACAAGGACTGTGGCCACCCTGGGTCTCCTCTCCTGTCCTAATGGTGGTATTTATAAGTGACAGGTGAGGAAGGGAAGAGCAAAAATAGTACTACCCATTAAAAATTCCCATTAGGATTTTCTTTCTGAGCAGGGAGGTTCATAGCTCTTCTTTCCAACAAAAAGGAAATCAAGTCACAGACAGAAAAGAAAAAGCAAGTCAAGGAATACTGAACTATGTAAGAGCCCATTTTGTTAGATAACTACATAACTTCCTTAAGTGCTGATGAGAACCACTGCTTGGTGTTTTCTTATCTTTACCTGCTAGTCCTCCAGCAGAAGCTATCAATCCCACAGGAACCAGCGCTAAAAGCCATGCAGTTCACTACAAAAAGCTTGCTCAGAAATTCTAAGGAAGTGGTATTAATTTGTGCTCAGTGTGTCTAGCCTCCAAGGATCTCAAAGCACATTACTCATGGTCACCTTGTCTGGAACAGTGAGGGAAGAATACCAAAAAACTTTTGTGGGGCTGAACATTCTACGTAGAGAGTGATTTCTCCCTTCTAGGCTAGCTGGGGCTGGGCACACTTAAGAGTTAATATTTTATTCATGATCCTTGCAGTCATTAAGAAATAAGAGAGTCAGACGTCCACACTATTGACGTTTAACAACAATCTGACATTACTTACCAAGCAACTTAAGTTGCTTAAGTCTGATGGGAGCTGACTTCAGACAGAAGCAACTGAGGGAATAAATTCAGCTTGAATGTTTCAAAAAAAGGGAATGATACAGGTAAAACCCAAAGCCATGAAGACAGGAAACTTGCACTTATCAAATTTTCAAAGACAGATGGGAGTTTTGATCCCATCTGGAACTGACAATGGCTAGCAAGATTCAGTTTGCACCAAATCATGAAACCCAGCTCAGCAGTGCCTCATCACTAAATGCAAGTACTTTCTTGGCTAAGTACAATATCATTATTAGAATAGGTGAGAAAATGCTGTTTTCCCTCTTCTTTGAAGAAAGAGTACCTCTAAAATTTTATGCTCAAATGTAATGTCAAGTTTAATTAAATATGTAAATTGAGGAACGAGCCTTTTTTTTGGCGGGGGGGGAACTGGGGAAGGCTCCAGAAATACTCTGAGTTTGAAGCTGCTTTCTTTGGAGTCTAAGTCTACTCAACAAGGACCAGAAGGTTCTGGACAGTCTAGGTTAATGCTCTTCTCTCGATCAACTCTGATATCAGAGTGAAACTTTGGAAATCTGTTCTCATTCTCTGGATATACTGATGTTGGAAGGCCAGACATGCCCAGGCCCATCCTTTAAGCCTAGGTGATTGCAATACATTAAATATAATTCATGCAATAAAATTTAGATCTTAAGCAGGGAAATATCAGACAGGTTATAAGCAGAATATGATAGGCACATCTCTGTCTAGAAACCTTTACTCCCCTTAGTCAAGCAGACGATTCATTAGAATCTCTGATTTCAACTATAAAACGTTTTAGTAACTAACTAACTAAAACGCGGATCAAATGAAGCCAGCCTCTGTCCCACTCACATTTTCAGTCTTTTCCCTTACCATTTACTCCTAATTCCTGCCCTCTCAGGTCTTCTCAAACACCAAAGGGACTTCTCAATGCCATTTTCAAAACAAAAATTCTCTTGACTCTACTGATGTGGTGTTGGCTGTAGTGATGGCATCCTAATGAATTTAAAGCTGAAAAATCAATTGCTTTTACAAAATTCATTATCTGAAATAGAGGTTGGTGGTTTCCCAGGTTGGGAGTTAAACTATGGCGCGCGCGCGCGAGTGCATGTGTTTTATTTCTTTAGGGTAGGGATTAGCAAACTACAGCTCTCAGGCCAAATCTGATTCACTACCCTTTTGATAAATAATGTTTTATTGGAGCACAGTCTTGCTCATTCATTTACACACTACCTATGGTTGCTTTCGAGCAATAACAACAGAACTGAGTAATTATGACAAAAACCGACGACCTGCAAAGCCTAAAATACTATCTACCTATCTGCAGAAAAATTTGCCAACTCCTGTTCTGGGGTAAATACCCAGAAATAGGATTGCTGGGTCATATGTGTTCACATTTGTATGAAACTGTCAAACCATTTTCCCAAGTGGCTGTACCATTCTGCATTCCCACCAGAAATGTATGAGAGTTCCAGCTGCTTTGCATCTGGACTTTAGGGGGACTTTGTCAGCACTTCACATTGTCAGTATTTTTAAATTTTAGCCATTCTAATAGTTGTGGTTTGACAGTTGTGTAGTGGTATCTCACTGTGGTTTTAGTTTGCATTTCCCTGATGACTGATGATATTAAACATCTTTTCATGTGCTTATCTGTCAACCTTACATTCTCTTTGGTGAAGTGTCCACTTTTTAAAATTGAGTTGCTGTGTCACCTCCATTCTGTTATTACGTATATCCAGTGAGTTTTTTATTTCAGATATTTTATTTTTCACTTCTAAAATTTCCATTTTTTTAAAAAAACATTACTTATATTGTTGTTGAGAATATACGCAGCAAAACATACAACAATTCACAGTTTCTGCATGTACAATTCAGTGACAGAACTATGGCATTCTTGAAGGTAGGAAAATTTTGCAATAAAACGAAATGGAAACTTGGTTTCTGAAAAGCTGTTACTTTCTCTAAACCATGGTGTTCCTGCTGGAGTGAAAAAGGCTAAGGAAAAAAATAATGGCTAAGTCACTAGCCCCACAGTATTACTATCCACAACAAATGAAGAGCCAAAATGTATTTCTGACTGTTGTCTTTTCTTCTAGTGAATAAAAATGCTGACAACCCCGAGCCCCAGCTCCCTAGATCTTTATGGGCTAGAAGAAGTAAGAGAAGCAAACCCACCTAACATCTCTTCCTTCAGTCTTTCATTACGTTCTTCAATTTGCTTAGGCAATCTCTGAGGGAAAAAGAAGAGAAACAAAGGTTGGTGAAAATCCCTTCTGGCTTTATTCTGAATTTGAGAAAAATTAAAAACATAATGTGAAAGTGAGATCATAATGAGAAAGTGAGATATATTCCCATTTAAGTAAAGAAAAAGCCAGGTATTTGTGGTTGAGTCACATGGAGATAGGAATTCTGTTGGTTCACTGCTATATTCCCAGTTCTTAGGACAGTGCCTAGCTCTAAGGAGGCCCTCAAGAAAAACACTGATGAATATCTCAACAACAACAAATTATATATATATATATATATATATATACACACACACACACACACATATACACACACACACATATATACACACACATATATAAAATGGATGAAAAAATATAGATACAAAAAAATGTTGGAAAGGATACATGCTTGATGTTTACACTGGTATCTGTAGGTGGTGGGATTATGGGTGATACATATATTTTTAATATATTTTGCTTATTTTTATCTTCTACCTTGAAATCTCTTCTTTATAGAATCTAATTTATTGAGAAAGGGCTAGATGAATCTTGAATGTTTCTAAACAATCATCTGGCTCAGGATTTCTTAACCGCAGCTCTACTGACATTTCAGGCTGGACAATTCTGTGTTGTGGGGGTTGTCCTGTGCAGGGTAGGATGTTCAGCAGCATCTCCCTATGCCTACTAGATGCCAGAAGTACCCTCCCAGTTGTGATAATCAAAAATGTTTCCAGGTGTTGTCAAATGTCCCTGGAAACCAAAATCGAGGTTAAGAGCTACTGATCTAGATTAAAAGTCTCTTATGGCCCCTTTTAGTTTTGTAATTGGCCCCAAATACTCTGGGATTACAGAAATAACTCATTTATAAAAATCCTAAATAAATTATTTCTGCACATAGGTACAAAAAAAGATTAAAAGGTTATCAGTTACAAGGTATCACTGGCAAGAACTATGTTTAAAGAATACTGATATGGTATTTTTGAGAAATTTCCAAAGTTATAATCCACTGAAAAATCAGATAAATCATGTATTCTTCTGCCAAGAATCACAAAAGTTCATACAGAGACGAAACAAAAACTGAGGGACATTTTAGAAAATAACTGATCAGTCCTCTTCAAAAGTACAAATCTCTTCAACAGTTTATCAAAAAAGTAGCATTATTTAATGCTGTCATATAAAATCACTGGAATAATTGTTATGAAACCAAACTGGCTGAATTACCTCCGGATGATAATGCTAGATACTCTCACTTCTAACTGTAAGAAGGAAAATTAATTTCAGAGGGAAAAAAAAACTAAGTCACAGGAATTTGGCTAAAAAATCAAAAACCTCGTTTCAATGAATTATTTTCACCTTGGTGTCTGCTCCTTTATTTTTGTCTTTTAAATAACAAGGCTGGCAAGCTAGCAAAAACCCCAGAAATGGTGCTCTTTTCCAACAGCTGCATTTGTTTGTTTTTTTGCCCCAAGGAATTTTGAACACAAATGTTAGAGGTAGGCATTGCTGCCATTCCAGGAAGCCTCAAGGAGGAATACAAATAAGTCAGTTTCAAGAGCAGTGAGGGTCATCCAAGAATGAGCCCCGAGCTCAGACAGAGAAGCAGGTGCAGAGCTGTAGTGAACTGGGGTATGAGCATTAAGCTGCTCCATACCATACCTAATGGATACAATTAAGAACCTTGTGAAAGGAAAATCTATTCGAGGTCCATCTTCCAAAAACATAGTCTGTTAAATCTATCTGGGCAGGAAAGGAGTGACTATGGTGATGGAAAGGTTCTTAGGGCACAATATGCCACTGGGGGAAAAAAAAAACAGTTCAGAGTCAGCCTAGTGCAGAATTTTGAGGTCTCACGTTTTATGTTTCTTTTTTTTTTTTTTTTTGAGGGGTTGGTGAGGGGAGGAGGTGGGGAAGGAAAGGCAGGGATGGTCAAGAATCCTAGAGTTGTTACTGACTATGAACACTGGGATAGTGGACAACTCAAATAACTTCTTAGTGCTTTCCAATTCCCAAAAGAGACTAACTTATGGTCTGAGCATCTTCCAGTTCTGTTTGGCCCTGGCAACAGTGTTGATGGTAAGTGCTGACAACAGGGTGGGGTGTTAGGAGGCAAAAGTAAGAGAAAGAAAGGTAGTAAAAGAGAAAAGGGACAAATAAGATGTAATGAAATTATGAAATAGGCTCTGCTTCTAGACAAGATGAGGATTCTACCAGGCTGACTCGTCTGCAGAAAGCAACTATAAAATCTGGACATAATAAAAAAGCTACCTGAGAGCATTGGAGAATGAACAGAAGCAAGCAGAATCTGGGGGGAGTACATCCTTGGAGGAGGGAAGCTACATGAAGTAAGTTTCCATTTTTGAGGCTCTGGGCCATGCACTGTGGATACGGTGCATGGGATATGGTCCCTGGTGGAAAAAAATGTAGTCTTTCTAGCCCGAGGAGCCAAAAAACTGAATCTGTGGAAACTAGGGCCACTGGAGCACATGGGGAAAATATTGAAAGGGAAAGAATCAGAGAGGAGATCCCCAAATTCTGTCCATCCACACCTCCGACTGACGTGGAAAAGACTCAAAGCAGATTAGCTAAAGAGAAAAGATAAGAGTCCAAGTCCAACGAAGTAACTGCCTGCTAAGATCTAATACCCACTGGAGAAAAACAACGGAATCCAGAGTCTTCATAATTTAACACTCATAATGTCCACCATACAATCCAAAAATTACTCAAAATACAAAGACCCATGAAAATGGAACCCATTCTGAAGAGAAAAGAAAATCAACTGTTAACAATCCCAAGATGACTGAAATGTTAAAGTTAGCCAAGATTTTAAAGTGGTTATGAAGCTATCCACAATGAAGTAAAACAAAACATGCTCACAATAAATGAAGGCAAGAAATTGCACCAGAGAAATAAAAACTACAGAAAGAACCAAATGGACACTCTAGAGATGAAAAAGGAAATATCAGAAATAAAAAAAATTCACTGGATCGACTTAAAAAATTGAGTGGAGATGCAAGGAAAAAGTAAGCAAACTTTAAATCAGAGCTACAGAAATGACCTAATGTGAAGAAATGAGGAACAAAATTGGGAAAAACAACAACAACAAAACCCCCCAGAGAGCCTCAGGAGCTTATTAGATAATATCAAATGGCCTAATATATGTATAAATGGAGTTCCAGAGAGAGAAGAGAAAGGGGCAGAAAAATTTTTGAAAAAGTAATGGCCAAAATTTCCCAAATTTGATGACAGACGTATAAATTTAACATGTTTAATATGAACACTAAGCGGGATAAACATGCCAAAAGCACATAACGGTCAAATGGTTGAAAGCCAAAGATAAACAGCGAATCTAGACAGCAGGAAGAGAAAACAACTGAAAGTTACACAAGGGGAACACTGACTCAATTAATGGCTGACTTCTCATCGGAAACAATGGAAGGCCAAAAGAGAATGGAACAACATTTTTAGAGTACTGAAAGAAAAAAAGTCAACTCAGTATTCTTTATCAAGTGAAAATATTCTTTAAGAACAAAGACATTTGGGGTGATAATTTTTTTTTTTGAAATGGACAGTGGTGACAGTTACACAACACAGTGAATGTCACTGAACTGTACCCTTAAAACTGGTTGAAATAGCAAAAAATTTTTTTGTGGAATGTATTTTATAACCAAAAAAAAAAAAGAAAGTCATTTTCAAACAGAAGGAAACCAAGAGAATTCATCACTAGCACACCCACACTGTAATATAAACCAAACCAAAAAAAAACCCAAACTTGTTGCTTTTAAGTTGATTCCGTCTCACAGCACACCCACACTATAAGGACTGCTAAAAGGAGTTCTGTAGTTGAAGGGAAATGGTGCCAGATGGAATCTTAGATCCTCGAAGAGCTTTAGAAATAGTAAATATCTGGGTAAATAAAAAAGACCTTTTTTTGGTGGCTTTTTCCTCCCTCTTAATTTCTTTTATAATACATATGATTGTTTAAAATAAAAATTAGTAACATTGTCTTATGGGTTTATAATGTATGCAGACATGATGCTATCAAGAATATAGCCAAGACTTTAAGAACCCTGCTGTCTTTTCTTATGCCAAATTTAAGTTAATCCTACCACCATTCAGAGATATGCTAAAAAGTCTGATAAAAGATTAAAACTGGTTTCAAACTGCTTATGCATTTTAATTATCCAAACTAGCCTGTCTCCCATTACTCCATTTCTAGATAAATAAAAGATGTTATTATTGAAAGTATTCACCTTTAGTGTGTTTTAAAAAAGAAAAATCATACATTATGCAGAGAGGTCAATCAACATTTTCCAGATTTGCTCCATGGAATAATAGTCCTATGAAGTAAGTAGGACATTTTGTACAGCAGGGGCTCAAAAGCCCTAGGAGCCAGACAGGAAATGTAAATGAGTAAAGGAGTTGGTGTAAGACAACAGGAAGTGGTGAGGGCAGTGCTGGAACTGAAGAGATCCAGCTGAATGCCAACATATAGCAATTCAAGAAGGACCCAGGGTGTCCAAGTCTTCCAGTTTCCAAAGAGTCAGACCTGGCTTCTTATACAGTAAAATCTTATTTTAAAATGTTGAACCCTTGCTTCAATTAAAAAAGTTTGCTTTAAATAAAAAAAGTGTATGTAGCTTTCTCTTGTCTAGCTTTTGGTTGGCAATCTTCTTTGTACATTGGAGATTCATGATAGACCTCTTCATCCTAATGGTGCTCTGAAAAGTCTGGCAGTCAAGAAACCTCTTTAACTTGTTAAAACAAGTCTTTTTCAAACTTATTTGAACATCTATTACTTTTGGGCACTAACACATACATATCCAGTTCTGTAGCACATACATTAGTATCTCGCTGTATGTATTAGAGATAATCAAGAGTGGTGACAAATGTAAAAGGACAATCTGGAGTTATTCTTAAAGGGGAAAAAAATCAATACCATTTAGCTAATTTACAACTCAGATAAAAATAATTACAAGGTTTAGAAGCAAAAGGACTGGTAGTGCCAATGATTAAGAATAAGAGCCATTCTAAGAAAGATAAGAAGGTTAGTTTGGGAGATATTCAACTGGAATGGAAAAAACTGAGGGTAATGGGCTAGACATATGACAACAGAACAGAAACTTGGAGACTGAATAATGAAAAGGAAGGACAGAAAACCAGAAGTTTATTACCTATAATACTAAGAATCACTTTGGACTAAACTATATAACTCCAGAGGAGACTTCCCTAGTACAACAATGAAATAAAGTTTTTGTCAACACTAGGAATTAAAGAGTAGTATCACCTTTAGAATGGATATTAAATTTAGTTGTGTCCCAAGGGATTATTTAAAAGTAACTGAGTAGCAATATAGGGACTAGAAGGAAAAAAAACAAAAACAAAACAGAACAAAACATATACATATATTTAGAAAACATATACATATATTTAGGTTTTACCATACAAGCTTCTCTTGCTTGATGTACTGATGGATCTTTTTCTAATATAGATTTATAGTCTTCCAAGGCTTCATCCAGCTTATCTGTCTTCTCGTACAACTCTGCTCTCCGCAGTATTGCCCTGATATAGCTGGGATTTAACTGAATTGCTATAGAAGAAAAAGAAATAATTGTTACCATGAAGAAAAAGGGCTTATACACCTTCAACTACGTAAAATTTCTTTATCAACCACCCCCTAAGCGTATGAAAGGGAGAGTTATTTGTCGAAGTCGACTGCAACAGGTTTGGTTTTGGTTTGGCATACCTGGGGTGGGCAAACTTTTTCTGTAAAAGGCAAGATAGTAAATATTTTAGGCTCTGCCGGCCATATTACCTCTGTCGCAACTACTAAATTCTGCTACTATAGCACAAAAGCAGCCACAGACGATATATAAACAACTAAGTATGGCTGTGCTCCAATAATTTTTTTTTTTTAATGGACACTGAAATTTGAATTTCACCGAATTTCCACGTGTCACAAAATGCTATTCTTCTTCTTTTGATTTTTTCCCTATTTAAAAATGTCAAAACCATTTTTAACTTGCGGGCTGTACAAAAACTCGCGGCAGCTGGATTTTGCCTGTGGGCCATAGCTTGCTGACAGCTGTCTATACCCCAAGTCCTGACTTTTGCCTACTTGTCCTTGTCCCAGAACAGGCCAGAACACACAGCTCAAGTGCACAGTGAAAGAGTGACAGAGAATGTAAAGGTAGCAAACTCTGCTATCATTTTCTTTCTTCTAGGCCCTGACTACTGAGGTTATAGGTCCAGCTAAACTCTCATTATTTCTTCAAACTACTGCTCCAGCACCATTAGGTCACAAAGCATACTATCTTTTCCTTTATCCAGCAACAATCACTCTTCTAAAACTCCTTTGAACATATTTTGATTCAAGTACACCACACTCCCCCCAATCCCTTCTGAGTTGTTCTTTTCTGTTAGAACGCAATGCCATGGTTCTAGAACTTATTATCTCTTCACATCATATACCCTTAATTTTTGTTTATTCTTTCAGTGAATATTTATTTAATACCTAATATATGTATCTAATATAGTGTATCTTTGGGGATACAGTGATAAACAAGATAGACCTGGTCCTTGTAGTCATGAAGCTTGGTGCTATTCTAGTAGGCAAGAGTACACGGCACACAGGAAAATAATTTTAGATAGTAAAAGTGCTGTGAAGAAAAATAAAACAAGGAAATGTGATTGCCAATGAAGGGAGAATGAAGCAACTTCTGAGAGTGGTCAGAGAATATGAAGAGGGAATATTTGAGGGAGGCCAGCCACTTGAAAGGATGATGAGGAGGAGTGTACGGGGGACTAATGTGTAAAGTTTCTAAAGCAAGAATAACCTTGCATGTGAGTGTCCAGGTTGGGGGTGGGGAACAGATGAAGGTAAAGATATAGGCAAGGACCAGATCATGCAGGGCCTTGCTGGCCAGGGAAAGGAGTCTGAATTTTTCCCTAAGTGTGATGAGAACCCATTGGAGGGGTTTCAAGCAGGCTAAAGACATAATCTGATCTATATTTTTAAAGGATCACTTTGGCTGCAGTGTAGGGGGCAAGAGTGGAAGCAATGAGACTAGTTGGAAGGCTACAGCAGTGGTCCAGATGAGAGATGATGTCGGTTTGGTCTAAGCTAGTAATAGTGGAGATGGAGAAGAGAGGTCTGATTAAGTATATGTCTCTGAATTACAGACCATAAAAAACCAAAAACCAAACCCACTGCTGTCGAGTCAATTCGACTCATAGCCACGTGGCATAAAGAAAGAGAGCAAACAAGGATGACCCCAAGGGTTTTAGCTTCAGTAAGTGAATGGACAGTGATGCCATTTATTAGAATGGAAAAAAACTGAGGGACATGCAAGTTGTGTGTGTGTATGGGGCAGCGGGGAGGGAGTGGCACCACAGTTCTGTTCTGGGCACCTGAAATTTGCAGTGCCTTTCAGACATCCAAGAAGAGATGCCAAGTTTGCCACAGGATACAGGACTCCATCACAGGGGAGAAGTCAGAGCTTTAGATATAAACTTTAGCATGTATATGGTATTTAAAGCTTCAGAACTGCATGAGATCATTTAGGGAAAAAACAGAAAAAAAGAAGAGGGCCCTATGTAGGACTAAGATCTGGGGGCTTCTAATATGCTGAGGTTGAAAGAGAAAAAGCCAGCAAAGAAGAATAAGAAGAACAGCCAATGAAGCAGGACAAAAACAAAACATACAAAAAAACTAGTATAGTGTGGTATAACCAAATTCAAGAGAAAACATTTTCAAGGAGGAAGGAATGATAAAATGTATTAAATGCTTTTGAGAGATCAAGTAAGACGAAGCTAGAGAAGCAACTACAGAATTGGACAACATGAAGTTGCTGATGACCATGACAAGATCAGTCAGTCTTCACTGGCATGGATGAAACAGAAACCTAACGAAGTGGGGTGAAAAGAGGATGGGAGAAGACAAAGTAGAGACAGCATGTATAGACAATGCTTTCAATAAGCTTTTCTGTGAAAGACATCAGAGAAATGGTACTGTAATTTGCAGGGGATACTGGATCAGGAGAGCTTTCTGAAAGAACTCAAACCTCCTGACAATTCAACTTCATGGGCTCTATCTGCCAATGCCCCTCTGACCAGTACACCATATCCCCTTATAATATTCCTCCCAGTGAGGATATCACAATATCCATAGGAAAAACATTCCAAGGATCTCTATTACATCTTTTAAAAAACTGAATCTCCTAATTTACATTTTAACTCAGATACTTCTACTTCCCCAACTAGTGGATAGCTTCTAAATGTACAAATATCTATTGAAAAGTAGGAATTTTTTTATTAAAAACTTCTAAAATAACATAGCAATCTAACATGTTATTTTATTTACCAATCTATATTAAGAGAATGAATTTCAACTTTATGCCAAGGTTGAAATACCCTAAGGTGACTGGCATTAAATATTGTTCCGTATGACTAGAAGTAATGGACTCCAACATGACCCCAGATATAAGCTGTTAAGTCCTTTCCCAAGAAGATTATGAACTGAGTACGTGTGTGATGTGTGTGTGTGTGTGCATCTGTTCCTTAATGCAAATAAACCATACTAATGTCAATGTACTCTGCCTACGGGTGCAATGCAAGTTGCCTGTCACGAGTTGCCTAAGCAAATAAATACTGGTTTACCAGATTCAGAAACAAATTTGGAAAACACTTTGGTTGCAAGTCTTCCCCTTCTCCTCATTTTCTTGGCAAGGCTTCCTACACTTAAGGCTACAGCTAGAAATGAACTGTTTCTTAATCTAGCTTACAAGGCATTTTCTCACCATTTGGTTATAGGGAAAGAAGCTCTGAAAATCAGCAGCTTGTTCCTAATTTAAACTCTTCAAATCCACACACCTCACACAGAAGAGGATCTTCCATTTGAATCTCAAAGGGGAGTAATCTGGAGACTACAGGAAGTAAATTCAATTCCATGAGTTTCTGCTGCCCAAGTGGCTTTGAATTTTTCCTCACATATTTACTAGCACAGGAGAACGATCCATTCAAAACCATGCTTACACCAAGATGACTACTACACAACATCTCTGAAAACAGTGAAATATAAACCTTGTCTTTATAGGACCCAGAGGAAGGGTACACATGTATGAGTACAACAAGTCTCTCTACTGGTTTGTCTAGCACAGGTAATGCTCTTGTATGTCAACATGTAACAAGACAAAGAAGGTTGTACCTTTGCTGCAGTCACTGATAGCCATCTCCTTCTTGTCCTAAAAAGAAATACAACATTAGTGTCACCCTAGTTCTATCTTTAGTGGCCTAAAGGCTCAATGACCTGAGCTGATCATTAGTAACTACTTATGGAGACCCAGAATGCTCTTCAAATCACAAGGAAACATGCATGTTACTTCCAAGCTAGAACTCAAAATTACATGGGGACAGCTCTGACTTGAAAGCCTCCTGCTAACAAATTATTTAAGCAGGTTCTTTTCTAAAGTGTCTCTAAAAATTGTTGTAGTTAACCTATTACATTGGTTGGACACATTAGAAGGCTGAGATTTGGAAAACTTTGTGATTTAACCAGGGCAAATAACTGAATTAATTATCCTCGTCTTTGGTTAGTTGTTATACTATCACATTCAAAGTGCTATTTTCCAGAAAGCATACAGATGGTTCATCTACAGACACATGTAGTGTGGCTTATCATGTAGTCTTAGTTATAAACCTTAATTTGTAACCACTGTTGAAACAAAAATACAGAATAATTTACCAAATAAAATATCTGCTAGCTAATCTAATTTGCTGAGCCTAGAAGCATAACGGACACTAGGTATTAAAAGAATTGGATTCTAGTCCCAGCTTGGACACTAACCTGCTGTTTAACTTGGCCATGCCACTTTCCTTCTCTAGGGCTCAATTTCTCATCTAAAATATGAGTAGGCTGGGCTGGATGCCATATAAGATGTCTTCCAGCTCTAAAATGTCTATTTTCCCCAAATTAGAAGTTTTCTGCAAAATTACAGAAATAATTTAGTTCAAATAAGTGTTCAATACTCTCATTATTCCTACTGTAGCAAATATTAAATATTTTGCAGACTGTTTTAGAGCAATGTCTACCCAACTGTGTTTCAAGATTCAATCAAAAATGGTTCCAGAGCCAAGCCTGGGAAATGCAAATTCTAGTATATCTCTTCCAATGCTCATCATACTAATTCACATGTTAAGAAGTCCTGCAACGATGAAATCTGTATAGCTTTGTCTAAGTAGGTATTTTTCAACTTATCAGATTTCCATAAATCTAAGACACATTTTCATATTTTAAAGTTTCTGCAACAGTAATACATCTTTACAATTCACATGTACAAATGTTGTCCTGTTATTTTTTTCTGTCCCTAGATGCTGTTATTCAGTTGCAGTGCATCTTATCACCATTTGGCCTCTTTAGATCAAGAAATTATGGTATTTTACTGCAGAATCCTTTGACTGACACCTATTAACACCATAGGGGACCCAGGTATTTTCTGTCACTTAGAGCAGTAGTCTCCAAAGTGGAGTGTGTGAAAAAAAAATCAGAACTTATTTACCATCCTTTTATAATTTATATATATATATATATAACATATATGTGTGTGTGTTGTGTATCTCATGTAAGTATATTAACGTGTGTGATTATATATATATCTATACCAAATGAGTCGGTTCTGATTCATGGTGACCCCACGTGTGTGTCGGAGTAGAACTGCACTCCGTAAGGTTTTTGATAGCTGTAATCTTATGGAAGTAGATCGCCAGGCGTTTCTCCCATGGCTGTTGGGTGGATTCAAAGTGTCAACCTCTGGGCTAGCAGTTGAATGCAAACTGTTTGTGCCGCCCAGGCACATGTGCGCACAAGCATACACACGCACACAGGTGCATAATGGCATAATGTATAAGAATTGCATAATGTATATACACTGAAACCTGTGAAGCCAGAACCTGTGTAAGGTGGAAACCTGCCAGGAAAACTCAAAATGTTTTCCACTAAAACAAGCAATAGAACAGTGGTAAGACTGTACTCTGTCAAAGGTGGAAAACTTGCAAGACCTGGACAAACAAGGCAGTCCCGTCAAGTGCCAGCTCCCACAGGTATCACTGTAGTTTAAAAACATCTGGAGTCTACTTTTAGGGGTGTCTGTACTTCTGTGTCTAGCCCGACAGGTAACACTTGCTTCTAAACCCAGTTTGCCTTCTTTCTGCCTAGACATGACATGTCCCTTCCCAGGGACACTCAGTCAAGGATGCTGAGCCTGCAGACCTGCCTTTCAGAAATTCTACCCCTTAACCCATCACTTTCTTGAAAAACTCAGAATATACTCCTTAAGTTGCTCCAGGGCATTAATCCTGGAAGTATTCAAGTGTCTATTTTATACTCCTCTTAAAGTATTAAGAGTGTGACTCAAAAGAACAAAACAAGAAAATCCCGCTAATGAACTATCCTTGCACAGGAACTAGAGCCTGCTGTATAACCTATGATGCACACCAGAGAGGCTGTGTGTGCTTTCCCTGACACTCACGGCTCCTCCTGGCACCCTCAAAAAAGACCTTAGATCTTTTTTGTAGAAAAAGAACAAAGTAGGAGGCCTCACACTATCCGACTTCTGGACCTACTATACAGCTATGGTAGTCAAAACGGCCTGGTACTGGTACAAGAACAGGCACATTGACCAATGGAACACAATCGAGAACCCAGATGTAAATCCATCTAACTATGGCCACCTGATCCTTGACAAAGGCCTAAAGTCCATTAAATGGGGGAAAAGACAGTCTTTTTAACAAATGGTGCTGGCAAAACTGGATATCCATCTGTAAAAGAAAAATGTAACAGGACCCATACCTCACACCATACATAAAAACTAATTCAAAATGGATCAAAGACCTAAATATAAAACCAAAAACTATAAAATTCTGGAAGAAAAAATAGGTTCAAAACCACGGGCCCTAATATATGGCATAAACAGCATACAAATCATAATTAACAATATATAAACGCCAGAAGATAAGCTAGATAAATGGGATCTCCTAAAAATTAAACACTTAAGCTCATCAAAAGACTGGTCACCAAAAGAGTAAAAAGAGAACCTACAGACTGGAAAAAAATTTTTGGCTATGACATACCTGACAAAGTCTACTTTCTAAAATCTATAGGAAAATCCAACACCTCTAGAAAAAAGAAAAAAAAAGACCTGATGTTTCCATCAGAAACGGCTCTCGTGACTTAAGTTAGGGAGATTATTTCCCTAACAATTAAAAAAACAGGTCTTGGGAACTGAGGCTTGGGATGGTAGAAGTTTCATACAACTTCTTCCCAAAAGTACAAGAGAACAAAAAACCCAAGTCCTAAGCTCCGGGGAGCCATAGGAAGAGTATGGCTCCCTCCCAACTACTCTATCTTCAACTGTCTACAGCAGTGGTAAATTGGCCTGTTGCCTGCCACGAGCACCTTGTTTCCTAACTGCTAAAGGAAAGTATTATGCTGACCACTATAAGAAGGACAGTATGCTTTCTCATGAGACAAGTAAGTTACAGTTAGCTTTGGGAATTTCCCATAACTTATAGCCTTCCCTTTCTACGCCACAGTCTGGCCCATGTAAGAGTGTTCCCACAAGAATGTCATGAATGTGTAAGGAAAAAAGGATCCTATATGAAAACTGCCATGAATTTAAAAGCAAGGTGACCAATTAAAAAAGCACTGTTATTACCCAAGCCTAGAAGTTTTGAGGACAGGGAACTGAGAATGAGAAGCCATTTTAAAGAAGGGCTTTATAAACATAACAATTTATCCACAAAAATCTCATGTTAGCTGACAATTAGATGGTTTTCAAGAAGGCCCCTTTAAGAAGGGCTACAAATAGGGGATTATGAGTTTCCCTGCTAGAACTTTGATTGCTATTGTCCAGCTACTGTGTAGAACATTTACATTCTCTTCTCACTGTGAAAGAAAAGGAAAAAATAGTTGGAGCGGGAATTCTTCTTTTCCAATAAGATCTTGAGGTTTGGACTGGTATTTCCTGAGTTCAGAAAGTTATTTATAAGAATTCCTCCAGAGTAAGAAACTTGAAACACAGTCACAAACTAAATAATCATGCCAGGCTCCAGATTTCTACAAAGGAGTTCCTGGAATATTAGGTGTCAACTAAAGAGGATCTTCAGGGATACACAAGCTTTGGTAGCCAGAGATATTTCAAAGGAAAATTTTTATGTGTATTTTTTTGTGAGGAAGGGTTTCCACAGCTTTTTATCAAATTCTTAAGAGGGTTCTCCACCTCTAAGAGTGAGAACCACTGATCTAACTGTACTCTCCAGTCATAGTACAATTCTCTTTGGAGTTCTCCTCCTCAAATGTGGTAGACAAAATATTAGAACTAACTCAAGACACTTATGCTAGCTCAACCCTAGCAACAGCAATAACTTGGCAACTGTGGAAACAAAGAATTCCGAGTCCCAGGAGACAAATGAATATGGTGTGTCTTCTCTGACACTGAAGGTATCCTTAATCCCATGTCACAACAACAAAGAATGTGGCAAGATGGAGAAGCAAATGCAAAAGACCAAAATTTTCCAGCTAAGTGTAAAAACTGTTAGGTGTGAATTCTGATCTCTCTCGGTAGACTACATTAGTGAACATTGTTTTAAATACACTTAAAAATTGTTTTATTTTCTCTGATACAAAATGTCTGTTCGTATACTCTGTAAAATTATTTATTCTCCTATGCCACATATATGCTTCCAGAAATCCTTCATCTTGAAGAGTGAATCCAATAATAAAATATACAAGTCTAGGTTAAAAAAAAAAAAAACCCCAAAACTTTGTGTGTTCAAGCATTCAAGCACCCCCACCCCACCCTTTTTTTTAAACCTGGCCACCCAAAAAGTGCTTTTGTTAGAGGTACTAAAGAATTTCAGGCAACATCCAAGAGAAAGTAACAATAGGTATCTGATCTTAACAAAGCAAACAGAAAAAACTATTTCATCCAATCTTGAGCCTGCTTCATGGCTGCTTAAAGGTATGTTAAATAACCTCCCATTTATACTCTGGATGTAAGTAGCCACAGGAAATTAAGTGTTAATATTATTGTTTTTTTAACTCATCATTCCAACCCAGTAAGACTCACTGTCGGACAAATATGCATGAAATCTAACTTTTAATACTAACACTAAAAATATTTGTATTCTCGTCTACTCTAAACTTAACCTGTTATACCAGGCCGTCAATCCTTTGGAAACAGAAAATGCGTTTGAATTTTCTATGACACCTATTTTGCATAATATAAGGTACCTCTCATCCCAGCTGTTGTGCATTTCTCCCAGTGCCCATACTTTTAAAAGAAAAATCAGAATCTTAGAAATATGGGTCCTTAAGTCCAGAGTTTTAATCAGTGTTTCTCTCTGCCTCTGAGTCTTCACCTAGAATTCCGGAGGCCTAAAATAAGCAGCTGCAGCTATTCTAGGACATGGACTACTTGGCTCTTTGCTTCATTAACCTGCCCTAGTTTAGTGGAAACTTTGCCAGTCTTGCCTCCATGAAAAGTACTCACTCAGCTATTTTAAAGCGGAATGTGAACAGCAATCTGTTCAAATTACTCAAGTTTTTCAAAATAGTCTTCTGTCATCCCCACACCCTTCACATGAGGAGAATGTATGGGCAAGAAAAGGGAGGCAGTGACTTTGAGTCCCTAAGCTCGTTTTTGAGAAGTTACCCTATGAAAACACTGCAAGTCTCTCTCTCTCTTCAAAAGAAAAGGTCAAAAGTACATACCTGTTTCATCCTTGCAGCAGCTCTATTTGAAAACAGAATAGACCTATCTTTTTGGAAGGAGGATGGACACATTTGAAGGGCTCGACTATAAGAACTTTCGGCTTCTATATAATCTGAAGATTACAAGGAAAAGGAGAGAGATCATTACAATTTTATTCTTGATAACCTATAGGATCTAAGAATGCATAGCTTTCCAGTTACAGGACAAAGGTTTCAAATAAAAAGATAGAGTGTATCGCATCTTGGGCAGTAAAAATTATTTTTCCCTTCTCTCTATCTTTAAAGAAAACAGTGCTTGCTTGTGGTAATCTAACGAGGCTTCTCTGATGAACCGAATTTAGAACAAACACATTGCAAGTGAATAACCTTCAATGCTCAAGATTCCTACATAATGCCCTATATGTTCAGCTTTCATTTGGCTTACCAATTCAGTAAGGAGATTTGACAGGGGGTTAGGAACTGGACAGAAGAAAGATTAAAGTATGAGATTCATCATCTTGGATGAAGAAAAAAACTGACATACATGTTTTCATTAAAGACACTGTGCCATCATATAGTCAACCTGGCTAAAAATTAAATTGTATCCATAAAATGTTTGGAGAGACATTTCATGGAGTAACAATATAAAAATCAATATTTGATAAAAGACTCTAAAAGAAAAAAACCGTAATAAATTTATACATTCTTTGCTACACACAGAATTACGGTCAGAGTACTAAGCAAGAATTGCCTATTCACTCCTTTCTCAGGTTTGGAGTATTTACTACTAAAATTCAAAGAGATATGCTTAAAAATTAGGACCATTAATTCTATTAGGAAAAAAAGTGATGATTGCTAAACCAGGATATAAGCAAAATATTTTGAAACATAAAAATACCAAGGGGAAAATGTTAACACTCCTAGATTTCTGAAGTGTATACACTTTGAAATGTGACAGAAAGCTGTTTTATGATCAGTTTCCCCAAATTACTGGAGTGAAACCAACTTATTCCTAAGCAAATATACGAAACGCAGAAGGACATGAAGATCATCTGTCTACTAAACGCATCCACAGAGAAAGGCACATGAAAGAGCAACCTAAGTATAAGCAAAATACTTCCCTAGGCCGTGCTGGAGAGGTTAGGCCTGTTTTTAGGGCACTGGAGCAAGTGAAGATGGGGGTCCTGTTTTACAGCAACACAGCAAATACCCTTTAACATTAAAGGTAAGAGTTTTCCAAAACAATAGCTGAAGTTTCTCACCACAAGCCCCCCTCCTCTCCCATTTCTGGACTAATAGCTAATAGATTACAGGAGGTCCCGAAAATTTTAATCCACGCAGGTCATTAAGGCTGCCTCTACTTTTATGGAACCCTGGTGGTACAGTGGTAGAGAGCTATGGCTGCTAACCGAAGGGCCGGCAGTTCGAATCCATCAGCTGCTCCCTGGAAACCTATGGGGCAGTTCTACTCTGTCCTATATGGTCACTATGAGTTAGAATCTACTTGACAGCAACAGGTTCTACTTTGAGGAGGCAGCTCTTCTCTGATCATATTTTGAGTGCCTTTCAACCTGAGGGGCTCATCTTCCGTTACTATATTAGACAATATTCTGCTGCTATTTATAAGGTTTTCACAGGCCAATTTTTTTTAGTAGATCGTCAGGTCCTTCTTCCTCGTCTATCTTGGTCTGGAAGCTCCGCTGAAACCTGTCTATCATGGGTGACTCTGCCAGTATTTGAAATACCAGTGGAATAGCTTCCAGCATCAACACACAAGCCACCACAGCAGGACAAACTGGCAGACAAGTAGTGGTATCCTTCCACCATACTTATTCAACCTGTATGCTGAGCAAATAATCTGAGAAGCTGGACTATATAAAGAAGAATGTGACATCAGGATTAGATGAAGACTCATTAACAACCTGCGATACGCAGACGACACAATCTTGCTTGCTGAAAGCAAAGAGGACTTGAAGCACTTACTGATGAAGATCAAACACTACAGCCTTCAGTAAGGATTACACCTCATCATAAAAAAATAAAAATCCTCACACTGTACCAATAAGCAATATCATGATAAATAGAGAAAAGACTGAAGTTGTCAAGGATTTCATTTTACTTGGATCCATAATCAACAACCATGGAAGCCACAGTCAAGAAATCAAATGACATATTGCCATTATGCAAATCTGATGCAAATGGTTGTTGTTAGGTGCTGTCGAGCTGGTTCCAACTCATTGTGACCCTATGTACGACAGAATGAAACAGTGCCTGGTCCTGCACTGACCTCACAATCGTCTTTATGTTTGAGTCCATTTTTGCAGCCACTGTGTCAATCCATCTTGTCAAGGTTTTCCTCTTCTTCACTGACCCTCTGTTTTACCAAGATGATGTCGTTTTCCAGGGACTGGTCCCTCCTGATCACATGTCCAAAGAAAGGGAAATGAAGTCTCATCATCCTCAATTCCAAAGAGCACTGTGACTATATTTCTTCCAAGACAGATCTGTTCCTTCTTCTGACAGTCCACAGTACATTCAATATTTTTTGCAAACACCATAATTCAAAGACATCAATTCTTCTTTGATCTTCCTTATTCATTGTCCAGCTCACACACACATATGAGGCGACTGAAAATATTACGGCTTGGGTCCAGTGCACCTTAGTCCTCAAAGTGACATCTTTGCTTTTTAACACTTTAAAAAGGTCTTATGCAGCAGATTTGCCCAATGAAATACATCATTTGATTTTTTGACTGCTGCTTCCATGGATGTTGATTGTGGATCCAAGTAAAATGGAATTCTTGACAACTTCAATACCGTCTCCGTTTATCATGTTGCTTATTGGTTCAGTTGTGAGGATTTCTGTTTTCCGTTGAGGTATAATCCATACTGAAGGCTGTAGTGTTTCATCTTCATCAGTAAGTGCTTCAAGTCCTCTTCACTTTCAGCAAGCAAGGTTGTGTCATCTGCATATCGCAGGTTGTTAATGAGTCTTCCACCAATCCTGATGTCACATTCTTCTTCATAGAGTCCAGCTTCTCGGATTATTTGCTCAGCATACACAGAGAATAACTATGGTGAAAGGATGCAAACCTGACACACACCTTTCCTGATTTTAAATCATGCAGTATCCTTGTTCTGTTCGAATGACTGCTTCTTGGTCTGTGTAGAGGTTTCGTGTGAGCAAAATAAATGTTCTAGAATTCCCATTCTTCGCAATGTTATGCATAGTTTTTTATGATCTACACAGTCAAATGCCTTTGCATAGTCAGTAAAACACAGGTAAACATCTTTCTGGTATTCTCTGCTTAGAACCATGATCCATCTGACATCAGCAATGATGTCCCTCATTTCATGCCCTCTTCTGAATCCGGCTTGAATTTCTGGCAGTTCCCTGTCGATGTACTGCTGCAACAACCACTTCTGAATGATCTTCAGCAAAATTTTACTTGCGTGTTATATTAATGATATTGTCTGATAATCCCACATTCTGTTGGATCACCTCTCTTTGGAATGGGTGAAAACATAGATCTCTTCCATTCAGTTGGCCAAGTAGCCGTCTTCCAGATTTCTTGGCATAGACACGTGAGCACCTCCAGCGGTGGTGTTCTGTCAATTCTTGGAGTTTTGTTTTTCGCCAGTGCCTTCAGTGCAACTTGGACTTCTTCCTTCTATACCACTGGTTCTTGATCATATGCTGCCTCCTGAAATGGCTGAACACTGAACAATTCTTTTTGGTATAGTGACTGTGTGTTCCTCCCATCTTCCTTTGATGCTTCCTGCATCATTCAATATTTTGCCCAAAGAATCCTGCAATATTGCAACTCGTGTGAATTTTTCTTCAGTTGTTTTGGCTTGAGAAATGCCGAGCATGTTCTTCCCTTTTGGTTTTCTAACTCCAGGTCTTTGCACATCTCATTATAACACTTTACTTTGTCTTCTCGATCTGCCCTTTGAAATCTTCTGTTCAGCTCTTTTACATCATTTCTTTCATTCATTTTAGCTACTCCCTGTTCAAGAGCAAGTTTCAGAGTCTCTTCTGACATCCATTTTGGTCTTTTCTTTCTTTCCTATCTTTTTAATGATCTTTTGCTTTCTTCACGTATGATGGCCTTGATGTCTCCTGCAACTCGTCTGGTCTTCAGTCATTAGTGTTCAATTTGTCAAATCTATTCTTTAGGTGGTCTCCAAATTCTGGTGGGATATACTAAAGATAGTATTTTGGCACTCATCACGGACTTGTTCTAATTTTCTTCAGCTTCAACTTGAACTTGCATATGAGCAATTGATGGTCTGGTCTGCAATCAACCCCTGGCCTTGTTCTGATTGATGATACTGAGCTTTTCCATCGTCTCTTTCCACAGATGTAGTCGATCTGATTCCTGTGTTTTCCATCTGGTGAGGTCCACATGTATAGTCGCTGTTTATGTTGTTGAAAAAGGTATTTGCAAAGAAGTCATCTGTCTTGCAAAATTCTATGATGCAACTGTTTTTAGCACCAAGGTCATGTTTTCCAACTACCAATGCTTCTTCATTTCCAACTTTTGCGTTCCAATCACAATTATCAATGCATTTTGACTGCATGTTTTATCAATTTCAGACTGCAGAAGTTGGTAAAAATCTTTAATTTCCTCATCTTTAGCATCCCTGGTTGGTGTGTAAATTTAAATAATAGTCGTATTAACTGGTCTTCCTTGTAGGCATATAAATATTATCCTATCACTGACAGCACTGTACTTCAGGATAGATCTTTTTTTAAAAATTTTTTCTCATATAAAAATGTATACATACACTGTTATGTGACTCTAATTGCTCTCCCCATACTGTGACAGGACACTCCTCTCCATCCAATTCCCCATGTCCATTCAACCAGCTCCTTACCCTCTCTGCCTTCTCATCTCATCTCCAGACAGAAGCTGCCCGTTTAGTCTCATGTATTTACTTGAGCTAAGAAGCACACTCTTTATGAGTATCACTTTACGTCCCACAATCCAGTCCAATCTTTGTCTCAAGAGTTGGCCCTGGAAACTGTTTTAGTTCTGGGGTGATAATCTGGGGGCCATGCTTTTCGGGGTTCCTCCAGTGTCAGTCAGACCATTAAGTCTGGTCTTTTCACTAGAATTTCAGTTGTGCACCCCACCTTTCTCTGGCTCCATCAGGGACTCTCTGTTGTGTTCTCAGGACAGATCTTGAAACATTCTTTTTGATGATGAATGCGATGCCATTTCTCGTCAATTTGTCATTCCGGCATAGTAGACCATATGAACATCTGATTCAAAATGGCCAATACCAGTTCATTTCAGCTCACTAATGCCTAGGATATAGATCTTTATGCGTTGCATTTCATTCTTGATGACTTCCAATTTTTCTAGATTCATACGTCATACACTGCACAGTCCAATTATTAATGGATATCTGCAACGGTTTCTTCTCATTTTGAGTTGTGCCAGATCAGCAAATGAAGGTCCTGAAAGCTTTACTCCATTCACGTCGTTAAGGTCGACTCTACTTTGAGGGGAGCCCTGGTGGCGCAGTGATTAAGCATTCTGCTGCTAATCAAAAGCTCAACTAGCTGCTCCTTAGAATCCCTATGGGGCAGTTATACCGTGTCCTATGGGGTTGCTATGAGTTGGACTTGACTGGACAGCATTTTTTTTTTTTTCTACTTTGAGGAGGCAGCTCTTCCCCAGTCATCTTCTGAGTGTCTTCCAATCTAGGGGGCTCATCTTCCAGGACTATATCAGACAATGTTCTGCTGCTATTCTTAAGGTTTTCGCTGGCTAATTTTTTCAGAAGCAGACTGCGAGGTCCTTCTTCCTAGTCTGTCTGAGTCCAGAAGCTCCACTGAAACCTGTCCACCACGGGTGACCCCGCTGGTATTTGAAATACCGATGTCAAAGCGTCCATTATCACAGTAACACGCGAGCCACCACAGTATTAACAAATTGACAGATGCGTGGTTAAGACTGTTAAAAAGCAAAGATGTCACCTTAAGGACTAAGGTACACTTGATCCAAGCCATGGTATTTTCACTCACCTCATTTGTATGGGAAAGCTGGACAATGAATAAGGAGGACCGAAGAAGAATTGATGCCTCCGAATTACAGTGCTGGTGAAGAATATTCAATATACCATGGACTGCCAGAAGAATGAACAAATCTGTCTTGGAAGAAGTACAGCCAAAATGCTCCTTAGAAGCAAGGATGGCGAGACTTCATCTCCCATACTCTGGACATGTTATCAGGAGGGACCAGTCCCTGGAGAAGGACATCATGTTTGGTAAAGTAGAGGGTCAGCAAAAAAAGAGGAAGACCCTCAATGAGACAGACTGATACAATGGCTGCAACAATGGGCTCAAACACAGCAATGATTGTGAGAATGGCGCAGGATTGGGCAGTATTTTGTTCTATTGTACACAGGATGGCTATGAGTTGCAATCGACTTAACAGTACCTAACAATAACAGATTACAGTACAGAAAAACCATGCCTGGGCTAAGAGACACCTGGTAACTGATCACTTTTAGCTGAAATCATTTTGGACCTAGTAAAAAACAAAATTCCAAGGTGTTGGGAAGTAACACCGAATTGTTAGTGGTTTAGGTTTGCCGGTTGTTTCCAGATGTTCTTCGGTGCTTCTTCACAGACTCTAAAACAGAATAAGGAGTAAGATGATCAGCCATCAGTGCTAAAACAATGATCTCACCTCCTTTCTTAAATTGTTCATTTCCCTCTTCCTTTAGTTGAGTGCTCTCTTCTCTTCTTTTCTGAAAGAGATCAGAGAATTACATTGTGTGATAGGGTAATTGTGACCTGCCAAAGGGATTGGTCAGCTTTGCCTTAAAAGAAAGCCACTTCCAGAGCAGACAGGAGGAGCCCGCCACCAAGGAAGGAGACCAGCAGGAGAGACCTGGAAGCAGGAGACGGCGTGGTGGGTTTCATAGCCATAAAGAGAGAAAGCTGAGTGAGTCTGGGCAAAGACTGAGGGCCAGGGAGAGGGGTGCCTGAGAGCATGGCTGGGAAGAGGCTATCCTGATGGAAGAACTGTTTGAGTGTTCCTGAGCCTGAATTGTAACTGTTACTTCCCTAATAAACCCCATAATTGTGAGTATGGTCTGTGAGTTGTGTGTGGCCACTGCAACTTCAATTCACTTCAGTGAATTATTGAACCCAGTATAGAGTGCTGTGAGAGGGACAGCTGTTGTCAGAGCAGGTAAAGATGGCGGAGAGACAAGGCATATTTGACCCCTGCCTTACAGGAATCAGCCCTGGGCTGTTGATCTTAATTTTCCCTCCCCATTGTGAAGTTGGAGGAGGTCAGACACTGCCCCCACACTGTTTTTACAAAACCTTAAGTTTTTTAATAGTGGTCGCATACAATATTTTTCCTTTTGTGACTGACTTACTTCACTCAGCACAATGCCCTTCAGATTCATCCCTGTTGTGAGATGCTTCATGGATTTACCATTGTTCTTTACTGTTGTGCAGTATTCCACTGTGTGTATGTACCATAATCTGTTTATCCATTCATCTGTTAATGGGCACTTAGGTTGTTTTCATCTTATTGCTATCGTGAATAATGTTGCAATGAACATGGGTGTGCATGTGTTTATTTGCATGACGGCTCTTATTTCTCTAAGATATATTTCGAGGGTGGGATTTCTGGGTTGTATGGTATGTCTATTTCTAGCTTTTTAAGGAGGTGCCATATCGTTTTCCATAACGGTTGTACCATTTTACATTCCTACCCCAGCAGTGCATAAGAATTCCAATCTCTCCGCAACCTCTCCAACATCTGTTATCTTCTGTTTTCTTTTGACTCATGCCAGTAATGTTGGGGTGGGATGGTATCTCCTATTAGTTCTGATGTGCATTTTTCTATAGGGTTGCTATGAGTCGGAATCGACTTGACGGCAACAGGTTTGGTTTTTCTCTTAACGGCTAATGATCGCAAGCATTTCCTTATGTGTCTGTTAGCCGCCTGAATGTCTTCTTTGGTGAAGGGGCTGTGCATATCCTTTCCCATTTTTTCAGTTGGATTATTTGTCTTTTTGTTATTGAAGTGCTGAAGTATTCTACTGATTTTAAAGATTAGGCCCTTGTCAGATACATCGTAGCCAAAAATTCTTCCCAGTCTATAGGTTCTCTTTTTATTCTTCTGGTGAAGTCTTTTGATTAACCTATGTGTTTAATTTTTAAGAGCTCTCAGTTACCTAGTTTCTCTTCTGGTGTTTGTGCATTATTAGTTATGGCTTGTATTGAATTTATGCCATGTATTAGGGCCCCTAACATTGTTCCTATTTTTTCTTCCATGATCTTTTTTAGGTTTTATATTTAAGTCTTTGATCCATTTTGAGTTAGTTTTTGTGTATGGTGTGAGATATGGGTCCTGTATCTTTTTTTTACAGGTGAACATCCAGTTTTGCCAGCACCATTTGTTAAAAAGACTGTCTTTTCTCCATTTAATGGACTTACTGTTCTTCTATCAATTGTATTTTTGATGTTTAATACCCAAATCCTAGGTGTTGTTTGCATGTACTTTGCTTTCTATGTTTCTAGCTTTTGCACAGAAGGGTAATGCAGGTTTCATTTAATTTCTATTCACTCAATATGAAACTAAAGAACATTCCCACTTGTGCATGTACCCCTGTAAATTCAAATTTTGGCTCTACTACTTATTAGTTGCACGACCTTGGACAAGATCCAGAATCTTTCTAAGCCTTAGTTTCTTCATCTAAAAAATAAAGCTTTAACAGTACCCCTTATTGTTGTTGTTGGGTGCCGCTGAGTCGATTTCGACCCGTAGTGACCCAATGTTACAGAGCAGACCTCTCCCATAGAGTTTTCTATTTTCTAGGCTGTAATCTTTATGGAAGCAGATCACCAGGTCTTTCTCCTATGGACCCACTGGGTTGGTTTGAACCATCAACCTTTTGGTTAGCAGCTAAATGCCACCAGGGCTCTTCTTAGGGTTGTTTTATGGATTAATGTGATAAAGTATATAAAGCTTCCAGTACAGGTTCCATCAAATAAGGGCTTGATAAATGTTAGCTATTATTTTTCTGTAAAATAAGTAATACTGATTTAGCTATGATTGTCGTTTGTCATGAAGAAGACGTACACTATGTTGTTAGTGTATTATAGAGGACTAGCCTAGCCTGCAGGGTCAGGGCACCGTGCTGTTAGCACACTCGTACAGGAAAATTTGATGAAAGCTATATACACAAATCTCTTTTCTTAGCTTCTTCAGAAACTCACACAGATGGCCAACTCAAAGGCAGAGTGAATGTTATCCTGCAAAGCAAAGCTGACATGTGCTGAGTCCCTATGTGCTTTCAGCCATGAATGCCTTATCAACACGGCTGGCACAAGCAGAACTGGTAGAAGTGCCTGCCTGCCTGCCACCTTCTGACAGCACTTTTTTACAGAGAATGCCCCAAAATCTTTCTTTATTCTTGAAGCTTCTAACTAAATAAAAACTTCAGAAGGAGGAAATACAACTGGCAATGTACTTCATGCATAAGAGGAACCTGGAGCCTAAGCAATTTGTATTCTTGAAATTAGGGACCAAAGTAAAAATATTATGTCTCTGCAGAATATTTGTAAATATACTACTGATGAAACCAGAGTACCTTCCAAGTGCCTTTATTATTCCACTATGGATAAAACAGAGCACTTGACAAATCTCAATTTAAAAAACCAAAAGGAAGTTACAAGTTAAATATAATTTTTTACAGTATCTACACATAGCAGAGGTAATAATAATTTGTTTTAAGATATAACATATTTGAGGAAGGGCTATTCTGAAAGTTACATAAAAAATAAAATAGGGGGAGGGATACAAAAATACCAATGTGGCTGTATTTACCTAGCACCACCTAGGAGGAAAGGGGCCCTGGTGGCACAGTGGTTCAGCGCTGCTAACTGAAAAGGCTGGCAGTTAGAACCCACCAGTTACTCTGTGGTAGAAAGATACGGCAGTCTGCTTCCGTAAAGATTTACAGCCTTGGAAACCCTATGGGACAGGTCTACTCTGTCCTATAGGGTTGCTATGAGTCAGAATCGACTTGATGGCAATGGGTTTGGTTTTTGGTTTACCTAGGAGGAAGGTGCTTGGAATGTAATGTTGTCTATTGCACTGGCCAGGATTTTGGATGCAAGCAAAGGTCTGTCCAACTTAAACCAAAAGAAAAAAAAAAAAGGAAGGGGAAGGGAGACTTACTGGAAGACATTGGGGGTTCACAGAATCAACAGAGGCTTAAAGAACAGGCTTAGGAAACAGGTAGACTTCAAGTGAGCTCTGTTAAGTCAAGAAGAAAAAGCTAAATATCTTTTAGTGAGAGTCTGGTCAGGACAGGGCTGCAGTGGTAGCAAATAAGTTCTAACCAGTCCTTTTTCTTTGTCTCACTCAATCCAGATTCATAGTCTTGGTCGAACGTATGCAATGAACCAGCCTAGGTCACAGGCCTTGCTGACAGGGAATGGAGTGAGGATGTGGAGTAAGTCAATCAACAAGATTAAAACACTGTGGAGAATTTCCCCAAACAGGAAAGGGGGAATTAGATGCTGGACAGCCAAGAAAACCCTGTAACAAATCTAGTTAACCGTTACTTAAAAAATCAGAAATGCCGAACGGCAGTTCATCAAGTTATTTACCAGCAGTTAATATCCATTCTTCAAGAACGTTCCATTTCCTCTGTTTTAACTCTAATCTCAAACTACTTTCTGATCTATAATTTGCTCTGTGGAGCGAACTCATCAGGAATGGTCTATGAACACAGATAAATTACACAGACTGCCCCATCAGGCTCTTCTGAATTTTGTGTTTTTTTTTCAAGAGTCTTATCATTTTTAGGTAAATTTATAACATCAAGTTCCCAATGGGCAAAGCCTAGGCCCTGCAAGAAATTACTGCTAAGGCCCAGCCTCAACAGCCAGTCAGATAAAAGCTCATTGTGTTCATAATGAGGGGGACTAAAACTTGAACTAGCAAAGAGAAAGGCTCTAAAACATATTTCTAAGGCCAATTATTCTCAGAAAGACATTTCATTTTTTTGGCTGATAAATCACAATCCAGTGACCCATGAACCAGTAAACACTGGAAAAGAGCTGCTGCTTCCCTCTCCACAGACTGTATAAATTGAGGATTAAGGCAATTATCAATATCATGCTGAACATCTCCTTGGAAACAGCTAAAAATAGCATTTTTGAGGAGAGAGCTGCACTCTATCTCAGCTGTGCCAAGAGACTGACTTGATCCCAGTACAAACATGGGGGTTTATTCTGCTGCCTGAATATACTATTTCTCCAAGGGATGGCACACATACTGTATATATTCCTGGAATCCGAGGACAGATTTTATAGATAGCACACAGATCCTACTTCAGCATGCCAAGTGCCAGAAGTGTTCACATATAAATGAGCTGGTAGTGCTGATATTCTGCAGCGCTATCAGGGGCAAACCTTTCCAGGCTCTGTTCTATGAAGAGAAGCTTCTAATGTGGTTAGGAGCCCCCTCACACGCCTCCACAACGCATTTTAACACATTTCAGAGAGGGCTCACAGAGAAACATCTGTTCTTGAATTACATTTCCACAGGAATGGGAACCAAAGAAATTTTACAGGACTTGTTACTCAGTACTCAAAGAAAGCTGCTTCCTACTCATCACTGAAAACTCAGGGGAAAACAATGACATTATTCTGTGTCGTCAATCATCAAAGCAACTTGCTGAGGAAAACCCCATACAAGACCCTTGATAAGTGGATG